TTTAGCTAAAACAAGTATTACTGATATCATAGTACTTGATACACTTCGTCAAAGTCGAATACGATATATGATACTTGTTGATCGATGTAGATTAATCCAGATATTGTCATTTACTATAAAAGAATTTTGTGAACTTACTAAATTAACTGGTTTACAATCAATGTTAAACAAAGAAGATTTTAATTGAATTGATCAAAATGTACTTAATAAATTGAAAGTGTTCATTTCGAACATATAGAACCTGTAGTTAGTTGTGATTTTTCTGACCATCTTGTCATTAAAACTATAGATTATTATGACATCCAAGTAAGAATGAATAGAATCTTGTTTTTTAACCCGTTGTGTTTGAAAATTCAAATATTTAATAATTGGAAATGCAGTAGAATGGAACGAATTATCTCTATAAGAATCTAGACATAGTACTGCTCATGTCTAGAGTAGCCACCATGGATAAGTGACTATGAATGTCATCATGTATGTGAGAGCTAGTAGGTTCGAATCTAGACGCCATTCTCCTCTATACTATGTAGTCTTGGATAAATTATTGAAGACTAGGATCAACATGTGTAAATTGACAATTTTCTTTCATTCTTAAAATCTTTCTAATCGACATGAAATAAATGTTCGGATTTTCTAATTGATAGTATACTATGACAAATTTGACATTTTGTATCAATACATTTAACACCATTAGTTAATTTTGCACACTTATCATGTTGGTCACTACGAGTATCATCAAATTTGTATGCTGCATCTGAACATGTACCAGCTATATAACGATCTGTCAGAAAACTTCAAATACATGAATGTATACAAAATTAGAAAAAAAAAATACGCAAACAAATTCTGTACCGTTGACAAGTATCACAATATAATTGTTCAACGTTATTATTGAAGCTATCTATAAATTTTTTTATATAAATCAAAAAATTTATCACAAGTTTCTCGTAGTGTATATTTCGGTTTTAATGCTTTTGTTTCAGTTGCTGTGCTATATTCATGAGTACCACAAATATATAAAGTATTGTAAGTTTTCAACCGACAATACCTTAAACTTAATATTAACAATGAAAAAATGGATAAGAAATTGTTTGATTTTACCGAGTAACAAAACATTAGCATTTAACAAAGATCCAGTAAGAATATCCAAATGAGGTACATCGTTGACAAAAGATTAAGTACGTGTCATCAGGGCACTTCGTACGGGATTGAAGTGTGAAACATGATGCAGCTACTGTTGTTAATCACAAGGAGATTGTTTTATTCAGTCTAATTTAGAAGAGATTTCTTCATCATTCTGTTACTTGATGCTTCAGAAATACAATAAGGAAGTAGTTAACTAGACGGAATTGAGACATAGTCTTCGATTGTATATCAACAAAGAATGTCATTGCTCCTGACAAAACGGAGAGACGAGTAAGTTTATAGTAGCTATATCTCAAAAACACATTTGTGCAGCTAAAAGCCTTCTCCATCAGGATTAGTAGGCGCGAAGGCCTCGGTCAAAACCAAATTTCTCATATCTGTTCAAAGGTTTTGAGAGAAATTTTTTTTCATATACTATAAAAGATGAGTCATTCCTTTGTCATAAAAATGCATTGTTTTCTTCTTTCAATTATCAGTTCTTATTTTGCATCACACCTAATCACTACACAAAGAAAAAAATACTATGAACAAAAATAGTATTCCAGAAGATTATTCCGAAAAGTAGATTAATCATCGACAAGAAACAAAAAAGGATAATAACATATGAAGTTTTCTGTTTTGAGAAAACAAAGATAGTCATTTCTTTATCAGTTTATACATTCGTTGTAAAAGTATAGAAATCAAATGAAAGAATTAAAGGTAATTTTCAACGAACTTACGTTCTTGAATGGATTGTATAAATGACGACGAATCCTAATGATGAACAGTTTCGTAAATGGATCCTAAAAAAAAGAGATAAATGAAGTCGAAATTGAAAAAATATTATTAAATTCTTTTGGCAAATAGATCATATCAATCAAAATAGAGCGAATAAAAACTCAACTTTCAACAGAAACTTGTAGTCCTACTCAGGTCATATGAAAGATCGACTTTCGAATTCAAATTTTGCATGAACATGAAATTAATTCTTTGAACAAGTTGTAACTTTTCTAGTTCTTTCTTTCCTATTCTGAGATATTGAATATTCGATATTTTCCATATTAACGAATCTCGTTAAGAACTTTGTTCGCGCAAATTTTAAAGTCGAAGTTCTATTTTCTAGATGATTTGAGGCGGACTACATGTTTATATGCTGAAAGATTCAGTAAAATTTCGATATGTGGAGAACGAAGGTTCGGAATAACAATACTTCGACAGTCAACTTTTCTTATTCTCATCTGATGTTTGTCCTTCGACAGATAGAAAAGTTCCTGATAAGATTTTATTTAAAAATTGATCTTGTCTTTTTAATATGTAAACTAAAAAGTAAGAAAAAATTTGATGAGGTCTTGAATAACGTTCGGTGATTCACGTTATTGAAGAATTATATTGAATATCTAATTATATACTGCTTTTGCAGATTGTGACTGTCCAAAATGAGAAAAACAGCTTCGCAATGGCACGTAACTTGAAGCGTTTATTCTTCGTGAGCAACCATAGATTAGGATCACTAAATTCATATTTTAGAAAACTAAAATTTGTCAAAATCAGAACCTCTACTGTAAAGGCTTACAACAAATTGATCCTTCTTGTTTTAGATATTTAATAGAGAAAATAGTGAATTTCGAAAATACAGTTTATTAGAATTTCAGGTCATTTTGTTTTGAAAATTTGTACTCATGAGTTATTTCTAATTCAAACTTTCTGTAATATAAGCAGATGTTTGAAACAACCCCAAACTGAAATCAATACAAAACTTTCATGTGGTTCATTTTTTCTTTTATTTTAGCTAAAAGTTATTCAACTCAAAACCTAACTTTATATCATGAAGTTAGTTCTACAAAATCCTTTATCTAATTACATATTCACATAGCAGAAAAAAAGACTGAAATTCTATGGCACGATAAATTTATACAAATTATGAATGACGAAAATACTGATTTTGTTCTGTACAAACATCAATTAATGCAAGTTTAACTCAGCAATACATAAAGGAATAATTAGAATCAAGGCTTTTGTACTTTATGTTATCTTGATAACTTTAGAGATGATTATTGAATTCTACACAATTGTATGAATTGTTCATCTAATAAATTTCCATTTTTGGCTAGTTTTGAATTGCTTTAAAAATAATTCAATAGAAGTCGCTTTTACTTTCCTCGTAGCTACGCTCATTGAATTGAACCATAGTTCTTATTTCGTTCCTTTTTATCTTGACTTAATATATCACTAAAGTCAAAACGAAGAAAAAAACCAATCAGAATATTCGACCACCATACTATTTGATAAGCTGAACAAAACAAACTTAAAATATTAATTATTCAAAACGTACTTAATATTAATAGATAGACAAGAAGAAAGAATAAACAATATATTTGCAAATTTGACTTATTTGATAAACGTATTTGTCATTGAGTAAATGTCAATCAAGCTGAGCTAAATAATTTTTCTATTGAAGCACTAGTCTTTATGAGCACACACATTTCCGATTTCTTTCATTTGTTCAATGAGTCGGAATTTTCTGAATGTATTAGTTTAATTATGAGAAATTCTCATTTAAAATACTTACTTGTCTTCATAATAAACTCATTTGTTTACTTGAATCGAAACTATTCGACCATTCATCTTCTAATAAATGAATTGGACAATTAATGTTTTTTTTTTTGTTAAATGTTTATTAGGTTCTGAATGGAATAAAAAAACTCCACTTACTCGTTTCTTTTCTTTATGAAGACCACTAAAATTTAGTCAAATATAGACATATTTATTCAATGTTAATTAGTTTAAAAAAAAAGAAAAATTTTCAAAACGTTTAAATGCGAAATCTAATAAATTTAGACAACTAGTTGAACATCAATCTGAATCAATGTCTGAACTTTCAAGTAATGTTTGAATAAGTGAAGATTAAAATAAAAATTGTACACTATGAGAATCGCTTTAGCTAACTGATAAAGTACATAGATTTTCTTATTTCCATGATGATGAGTACTATTCGATAATGTTGAAATCGATGATAATGAAGATATGTGTATGACCATCAATTGAACAAAGTATTCCAAATTGTTCAATTTCTTGAATTAGAAAAATTCTATTTAAATAAAAACAGAGATTGTGTCAGTGCAGCTCGTTGAGGACTATAATGTAGAACTCACATGTGTTCTTTAGTCTTATTATACTCCTCCCAAATACTTGAAGTGAAAAATTTTTACTAGATTTTAAATGAATAGATGAGAAATCAAATTTTACCCGTTTTTATTTTTGAAGTTAATATGATTTTCATATTTTTTTCATCTTTGACTTTCTTTACTTTTTTCGGATGAGTTTCTTTCACCATTTCCTGTAAAGGGTGTGGGTATGGGTTTTTGTCTAGAGAAAACTACTCCACTGTTGAATCGTATCACATCTAAAAACTTCTTCAATATTCGTTTTCTTTTTATTTATACACTTAAAGTCATACAATATTTAACTGTATAACCTTTAGTGTCAGTTGAGATAACTGCTTTTCTCATAGTTCTCGATAGAACTTGTTGAGTATGGGTCTGATCTCTCATAGTTACTACTTTTAAAGTAAAAGTCTATAATGACCGCATTCATAAATGATCACCATCAGGATACCATGAGAAATGTGAAATAGATTCTAATGAAAATATGATAAGTAAGAATTCAGCAAACGTCTAAATTTTTGTGTCGCGCGTCTCTAAAACTTACACTTAGTCTATTTTTCTTCGAAAAGAAAGACGTAATGTGAGTTCCACAAAAAACAAAAACAGTCAATAATTTTATCATCAATTGCTAATGATGATGGATTAATATCAAATAAACTTTGAATATTCCCCAATTGAATAAGTGGAATATATTTTCACACCGAATGCTTTTCACATATATTCAAAACCATCGGAGAAAAGAAAACGAGTTAAATGTAGTTGTATTGTTGTTAATTCTTGTTGAAGTTCAACAACTTGAAATTTTTCTATATAATCATGATGTGCAGCAAGAAACTCTGACTAAAATTTAACGACAATTATTAATAATATGAACAATATTAAACATTGATAAATGTTTTTCCGTTTTTCTACTTTGTTCATTTAATTTTTTTTTGCTATTTCACGTAATTTACCCAAATGAATCAATTAATAATTGATAATCAATATGT